TTATCCCCCCCCCCCCCCCCACCTACGATTTATCTAATCATTAATTCCCAAATTATGAGTTTTGGCTTCTATCGATTCATCATCCAGTTTTGTTTCTGCTCGTTGGGACTGTTCAATCAGGCTAATCAGCATTTGTTTCCCTCCTGTTGATTTGCGTTAATGATCCGTTTTTTTGAATGAATCCGCAATGTTGTAGTTTAACGCTGGTAGGTTTTGATCATTACTCAATGCCTTCGTCTTTTGTCTGTTCTATTTTAATTTTTCTTAATCTGCGGCATCCTGGAGTTGTCTTATATTAGATTAATCATGCAATTATGTTTTGTCTGTTCGTGGATTTCTTCCTCGGTTATATCGATGCCCTGTTCTTCGTTTGCGATACTTCAAAAATCAAGAGAGCTATAAGGTTTTTGGTTTGTTCTTTTATCTGAACCGATCGAGTCCTTTCATCACCCGCTCACATTTATGCATTGTGTTTATCTTCCGATTTTGGAAAAGTGGATGTTGTTTAAGCCTTCGATTGTGCAATTTTTTTGTTTTCTCCAGCCAAAAGAGCTTTATGGGGTTCCTCCATGGAAGTTTCTGCTGTTTTCTGTGGATTCATTTGCTTGAATCTCCACTAAACACCAAGCTATCAATAATCCCCTTGATGCATTGCATTAGATATTAAGTCGAGGAAGAACTTTCGTTATTAATTATCCCTGCATCTCTATTGTAAATTTCAGGTTCAGGGAAGATTTTTCTTAGCTTGGTAAATTCTAGGTTTGCTTGCTTGTATTGGAGTAATAGCTAAGTCAATTACATCATTATGTCACGTAAGGCACTCGACCACGAGTCGATTAATGAAAACGTGAAAAAAGCTCAGTATGCTGTCAGGGGAGAACTATATCTGCGGGCTTCTGAGCTTCAGAATGAAGGGAAAAAGGTATAAAGTTTTCATCCAATCATATAGTTCCTCGTAAACTTCCTTCAGTTGTTTAGGAATTTGGTTAATTGTTTATATTTTACCTTTGATCATAACTATGTCCTACCGTGATTTATTGCTTAGTTCTTGAATTAAACTTGCCATTTCCTTATCCCTTCTCGAAGTTTGGAGGATTTTGATCTTTGATCTCTTGTAATTGATGAATCATTGAGTTGAGACTGTTTGTGTGAGATCCACATCGTTTGGGGAGGAGAATGAAACACCCTTTATAAGGGTGTGGAAACCTCTCCCTAGCAGACGTGTTTTAAAAACCTTGAGGGAAAGCCTAGAAGGGAAAGCCCAAAGAGGACAATATCTGCTAGTGGTGGGCTTGGACCGTTACAAATGGTATCAAAGCTAGACACCGGACGATGTGTCAATGAGGAGGCTGAGCCCCGAAGGGGGTGGACACGAGGCAGTGTGCCAGCAAGGACGCGGCCCCAAAGGGGGTGGATTGGGGGGTCCCACATCGATTGGAGAAGGGAGCGAGTTCCAGCGAGGACGCTAAGCCCTGAAGGAGAGTGGATTGTGAGATCCCACATTGGTTGGGGAGGAGAATGAAACCCCTTTTTAAGGGTGTGGAAACTTCTCCCTTGCAAATGCGTTTTAAAAACCTTGAGGGGAAGGAGAATGAAACCCCTTTTTAAGGGTGTGGAAACTTCTCCCTTGCAAATGCGTTTTAAAAACCTTGAGGGGAAGGAGAATGAAACCCCTTTTTAAGGGTGTGGAAACTTCTCCCTTGCAAATGCGTTTTAAAAACCTTGAGGGGAAGGAGAATGAAACCCCTTTTTAAGGGTGTGGAAACTTCTCCCTTGCAAATGCGTTTTAAAAACCTTGAGGGGAAGGAGAATGAAACCCCTTTTTAAGGGTGTGGAAACTTCTCCCTTGCAAATGCGTTTTAAAAACCTTGAGGGGAAGGAGAATGAAACCCCTTTTTAAGGGTGTGGAAACTTCTCCCTTGCAAATGCGTTTTAAAAACCTTGAGGGGAAGGAGAATGAAACCCCTTTTTAAGGGTGTGGAAACTTCTCCCTTGCAAATGCGTTTTAAAAACCTTGAGGGGAAGGAGAATGAAACCCCTTTTTAAGGGTGTGGAAACTTCTCCCTTGCAAATGCGTTTTAAAAACCTTGAGGGGAAGGAGAATGAAACCCCTTTTTAAGGGTGTGGAAACTTCTCCCTTGCAAATGCGTTTTAAAAACCTTGAGGGGAAGGAGAATGAAACCCCTTTTTAAGGGTGTGGAAACTTCTCCCTTGCAAATGCGTTTTAAAAACCTTGAGGGGAAGGAGAATGAAACCCCTTTTTAAGGGTGTGGAAACTTCTCCCTTGCAAATGCGTTTTAAAAACCTTGAGGGGAAGCTCGAAAGAGAAAGCCTAATGGGCTGTTACAGTTTGAGTTTGAACTTTTCCACTTATATTGCTCGTAATTTCAAATGTTTCTGCAGATAATTTTCACAAATGTTGGGAATCCTCATGCTCTTGGACAGAAGCCATTGACTTTTCCACGACAGGTTTGTTACTACAGCCACTTTCATTTGTTGCTGTCGGATCTTTTTGTTCCTTTTGGGACTGAAGTCAACTCCTGTCGCTATGTCTGCATGAACACTGCCTCTCTTTATTCAACAACAGGTTGTCGCTCTTTGCCAAGCTCCCTTTCTCTTAGAAGATCCTAATGTGGGATTATTATTTCCTGCTGATGCTATTGCAAGAGCCAAACATTACCTCTCATTGACTCCCGGGGGCCTAGGTAATTTGTTAATATGCATGCACAAGTTAGAATGATTCAGGATTTAATCCTTGAGTGATCTTGCTGGCGTAAAGGGGTGTCATGAAATCGTAACAGTAAGGACACAGCTTTAGAATTCAGGACCACATTTGTCCAATTCTCACGTAACAGCCTAAGCCCATCGCTAGCAGATATTGTGTCCTTTTTGGACTTTCCCTTTCAGGCTTTCCCTCAAAATTTTTAAAACATGCCTAATTGGGAGAGGTTTCTATACCCTTATAAAGAATGTTTCGTTTTCCTCCCCAACCAATGTGGGATCTCAAAATTCACCTCCCTTCAGGATCCAGCATCCTCGCTGGCACTCGTTCCATTCTCCAATTGATGTGGGACCCCTTAATCCACTCCCTTTCGAGGTCCAGCGTCCTTACTCAAACACTGCCTCGTGTCCACCCTTTCAGGGCTAAGCCTCCTCTTTCAGGGCTAAGCCTCCTCATGTCTGCTAGCAGTGGGCTGAGGCGGTTACATCTCATGTCCACTTTGTTTAATTTTTCTAAACTTGACAGCATCAATTACTCAATTTCCTTTTATTTTCTACTTGGAACTTGGAACTTGGAACTGCAACTGACTTAGAAAGCTTGAAATTAGTCTCATAGAAGTTCAGATCTTCAAGGAGATAATTCAATTGGTTGTTTTTAATCCTTCGAAAATACTTGCAGGTGCGTACAGCGATTCCCGAGGAATTCCTGCGATTCGGAAGGAAGTAGCAGACTTTATAGGAAGGCGAGATGGCTATCCAAGGTGATAAAGATGATATCTCTATGAATTTCCATAAGCTTTATGTGTTTGAGATAGGTTGATGATCTTGAAATGCTGATTTTAATTACTTGCATGGCAGCGATCCAGAACTCATATACCTCACTGATGGCGCTAGTAAAGGCGTAATGCAGATATTGAATACTATTATCCGTGGTGAAGGGGATGGGGTATTATTTCTTGACTGACCATGACCATTTGATTGCTTTTTCTTGCAAAATATGTCACTTGAATGGCTTGTCTTCATTCTCTACACCCTCTGCTTGCACATTAAGTTTAAATTTAGTGTCTTATCAGATTCTGGTCCCGGTTCCTCAATACCCTCTTTACTCGGCCACAATAGCACTGTTTGGGGGCTCTCTTGTTCCATACTACCTAGAAGAGACTGCAAATTGGGGTCTTGACATTAATGACCTTCGCCAGTCAGTTGCTCAGGCTCGCTCCAAAGGAATTAACGTTAGTGCATTTTCCATATTCATTTGTGAAAGTGAAATCCTGTATGGCATTGTTTCCATATCAAACGTAGAAATTAAGAATATAAGTTTTAAGACTGAGGTATCTTCGTGAGATCTCATATCGATCGGAGAGGAGAACTAAACATTCTTTATAAGGTTGTGGAAACCTCTCCCTAGCAGACTCGTTTTAAAAATCCCGAGCCAAAATCATGCCGATAGCTCATGTATTATATGCTGGTTTCTGGTTAGGTAAGAGCTATGGTGATCATAAATCCTGGCAACCCCACTGGTCAATGCCTTAGTGAAGCAAATCTGATGGAGATACTGAAATTTTGTTTCCAAGAAAACTTAGTCTTACTTGGAGATGAAGTTTATCAGCAAAATGTATACCAGGACGAACGCCCCTTCATTAGTTCAAGAAAGGTAAATGGTTATATTAGAGTCTCAACTTTCATTTTTAGTTTCCAAATCCATACTCTAATCTGCTGCATCTCTCAGGTATTACTGGATATGGGTCCACCCATTAGTAAGGAGCTGCAGCTTATTTCGTTCCACACCGTGTCGAAAGGATACTGGGGAGAATGTGGACAACGGGGCGGATACTTCGAGATGACCAACATTCCTCCAAAGGTTTGATTACTTAATAATAAGATTACCATTCAATTTTATTAGTTTCCATCCAGCATTTTTGTGATACTCGTGTAACATTCGATCATCGATGCTGCAGACGGTTGATGAAATATATAAAATTGCTTCTATATCACTCAGCCCAAACGTTCCCGCTCAGATATTTGTGAGTTATATATTTTTCTCTCTTAACCTTTATATCTGGCACGCCTGAATTTTGTCATGTATATGCAGATGGGGTTGATGGTCAACCCACCAAAGCCTGGTGATATTTCATATGATCAGTATATTAGGGAAAGGTATGGCTAGTCGTCTCGAATCCGTTTATCGTATAATCGTCCTGAAATAAACAGAACTTTATCATTTGTGGGATTGCAGCAAGGGGATCCTTGAATCACTGAGGAGAAGAGCACGAATAATGACCGATGGATTCAATAGCTGTAGAAACGTGATATGCAATTTCACAGAAGGTAAACTGTTTGGATTTTTACTGCAATTTCACTGGGGAGAAGAACACGAATAAGTACCAATCATTTGTTATCAGGTGCCATGTATTCTTTCCCACAAATACGCCTCCCGCTGAGAGCCATTGAGGCTGCCAAAAAGCTGGGGAAAATGCCTGATGTTTTCTACTGTCTCAAGCTCTTAGAAGCCACTGGAATCTCCACTGTTCCAGGCTCAGGTTTTGGGCAGAAAGAAGGGTAATAATCTATCATAATCTCTCTATTTGCAAGGTCTTCTTGTATCTTGGTAGTTGGCATTGGCTGATTTTTACTTGCAGAGTGTTCCATTTGAGGACAACCATCTTACCTGCCGAGGAAGACATGCCTGAAATCATGGCAAGCTTCAAGAAGTTCAATGATTCATTCATGGAGGAACATGAAGACCATAGGGGCTATTCAAGAATGTGATCGGGCCGCTTCCATGCGCCTGCGCCCATTTGAATTCACCTTATATTACCGTTCTATTACTGTAATGCTTTTGCTAGCAGACATATCTAACGTTAGTATGAGAACTTAATCATTCTATTGGATGTGATGATCATTAATGACTTAGTTAGTAACTTAATTTCTTAAGAAAACCATTGATTGATTCATTACTATGACAATTTATTTAAAATACATAAGTTAATTAAATATGTTTAAGCTCTAATGTCTGCGAGGGTACATTAGTAATTTTGCTAAATACCATAAATAAGATTAACACATTTTATTAGTTGTTAGTTTTGTTACACAAATTTCCTAATCTCTTTTTCCAATGGCGGATCTTTCCCAGCCACTTGTTTCGCCGCGGAGAGAGGAAAACAAACCGATCCACTCGCCGGAATCAGGCCGAAAAGAATCAAAGGCTGTTTTTGTTTCCGACGCCGATGACATACCTCCGATCAACAGCGCACGTGATTTCTACAGAGAGTTCTATGTTGAATCAAAGAAGCTGTGGTATCTTGCAGCTCCGGCGGTGTTCACCTCCGTTTGCCAATACTCTTTCGGCGCCATCACTCAACTCTTCGCCGGTCAAGTCAGTTCCATCGCCCTCGCCGCCGTCTCTATCGAGAACTCCGTTATCGCCGGCTTTTCCTTCGGCGTCATGGCACGTACTCGGCAATTCATTGCAAATTGTTCATTAATAATCTATATATTTATTTATTTATGAAAACAATTTTTTAAAATGAAAGTTTTAACTGCAGCTAGGAATGGGAAGCGCGTTGGAGACGCTATGCGGGCAGGCGTATGGGGCCGGGCAGCTGGATATGATGGGAGTGTACATGCAAAGATCGTGGGTCATCCTCCTTTCAACGGCCCTGATTTTAACTCCCGTTTACATATTTTCGGCGCCGCTTCTGAAGCTGATCGGACAGACGGCGGAGATATCAGAGGCGGCCGGAGTGCTGTCGATATGGATGATCCCTCAGCTTTATGCGTACGCGCTGAACTTTCCCGTCTCCAAATTTCTGCAGGCTCAGAGCAAAATGATGGCGATGTCAGTGATAGCAGCTGTGGCTTTGGTAAAGTTAACTAAGAATTCAAATGGTTTTTTTAATTTAATTTTTTTTTATATAATAAAAAAAAATGAAAGTAATGCATATAAATTTAATTTTTAAAATTAAAATGGTTATAAAATTAATTTTGATTGATATTTTGAACATACAGGTACTGCACACTTTCTTTACTTGGCTGCTGATGCTGAAGTTGAAGTGGGGACTGGCGGGTGGTGCGGTGGTGCTGAACCTGTCGTGGTGGGTCATTGTGGTGGCTAAGATTGTTTACGCACTAAGTGGGAGCTGTGGGCGAGCCTGGTCCGGTTTCTCGTCCAAAGCCTTTCAGAATCTTTGGGGTTTTGTCAAACTATCTCTTGCTTCAGCTGTCATGCTCTGGTCAGTTTTTTTATTATTATTATTATTATTATTATTATTATTATTATTATTATTATTATTATTATTATTATCTTCTTTTTTTCTTGGTTTTAATAAGATTAATTATTCATTTTGACAATTATAAGTTCACTTATTGTCATAATTTTAGATTTAATCTTTATTATTTTTAAGAAGGTTGAATTTAATCTCTATTATTTAGTAAAGTTTCACATTGGTTACTAAGTAATTAAATGATATCTTTCTATTTAATCAGTTATTTATGTTAGATCAAATTTAGAATTTAGAATTTATTTTATTAACTTGAAACTAAACCTAAAGGGTGAAATTAATAGATTAAATTTGTGAATAAATTTTTTTTGTTTCTCAGTGAGTTAAAAATTATAGTGTGATAAATTTTTAATATTTTAATTAATTAAATTATATTTAAGTTGATAAGAGATTAGTTAATTAGAGTTAATTTATTTAAGTTGATAAGACATTAGTTAATTAGAGTTTGATATGCTTAATTTATTTTACTTACGCGCATTACTTATTTTCAATATTAATTATTTGAAAAATATGATTTACAAATTAAATATTTACGATATGAAATGAGTTATTGATTTAAGTATATTTAAATTATTTTTCATACATGCTACCCACATTAATTAGTTCATTATTTAATTAAATATGATTTACATTTCAAATTAAATATTTATATTATAAAAACAATACGTAGACTAATTATATTTTGAGTTATTATCGTGTAGTTTAGAGATATGGTATTATGTGGCTCTCATACTATTTGCGGGATATCTAAAGAATGCAAACGTTTCCATCGATGCCCTTTCTATATGGTACGTATTATACATTAATTATTGCTTAATAATCGAGTAATTAATTCATCCATTTTATTTGTAATAAAAGTAAAAAAAAAAAAAACATGATATCTATTTTTTTTTTTTGTCTCCAAATATATTATAAATTGAGTATAATATAAATAAAATAAAAACTTCCCTATAATTGTAAAAAATATATATATATAATTTATGAGAAAAGAATTAATCTCGACTGCTGTTGTACAGGTACAACTAATATCATTTTCTTAAATAATTTATTGGATTTGGCTTTTTTTTTAGAAAATTATAATGGTTTATAATTTAATAATATCCCATGTTTAAAAAAAATAAGAATCAATTATTCAGAAACTATTGTTTTTCTTTTCTATTATTTAGTTCAGTAAAACTGGGCTGAGTTGTCCAATTATACGGTATCACGTGTCATGTATTTTACAGATTTTTTTCATTTTTTAATTTTCATTAATTTATTATTATTATTTTAATTTAAAGAATAATTTATTTATTTATTTTACAATTTTTTTTTACCACGTTAATTATATCTGACCTTTTTTTTTTTTTTTTTTTTTTTAAAAAAAAAAATT